TTTGTTCCTGGAGGATGAAGGCCATTCTTGTTCTGCTCTCCTGGGACCCCTCCTGCAGGAGGCATGGAGACTTGTCTTTGGAGAAGGCTGAGGCCAAGCTCTCTCTGCATGTGGAGGTGAAGTTGCCATTAGGAACGGAGGTGGAAGAATAATAGTAACCCTTAGGGCTGTAAAAAAGAAAGGCGGCTTTGAGAAAAAATACCCACTCCCCTGTAAAAAGTGAAAAGAAATCAGTCCCGTGAAGCCAAGTTACAAAGAAGATGGAGTCAAAGGAAGTCTGAAGTAGTTCTCAAGCCTTTGCAGAGATCTCAGTGCGGTTCTAGGTATGAAGGTTTTCTGGGAGCTTAAGAGCAAGCAATTCTTCTCACTCTATGGCCTTCTCACCTGACCTCCATCCAGAATCCTCTTACACGCTTTCACAGAGAACGCCTGTGTCTCCCAGAGCCTCTTCCAAGCATTTTCCTTGGTTCATTAGGTGATAATAGAAAGTGATTTTTCCCCTGTCATCTTGAGCAATCAGAAGCATTAAGAATAAGAGCCTAAGCCTGAAAGCCTAAATGAGAGGGTTTGATGGGTATGTGTATCTGCCTCCTTCATTAGAGCAAGAAGCAAGGATGGCTCCCAGAGCTTGCATTTCTTGAGAATAAATAGGCAAGAAACAAGGACCGTGGTCAAGTAGTGTCGAGAGAAAACCGAGGTTTGGGTCTTAGATTCCATTCCCAGATCTGCTGAACTCCAGAGAGGCAGTTTCCTCCGCTGTTACTGGTATGAAGCAATAGCTTGTCCCACAAGTGGTCCATTAGTGGACTTTTTGTAGAGAGGGGTACCTATCAGCTGAGAGCTAAGGGGGGGGGGCAGAAAATAACACCTGTAAGATCTCAGGCAAATCACTTGGTGCGCAAATGTGAACTCATCACCTGTATTAGCCCGTATTCACTCATAGTGGGACCGAGTAGCTGCATAACCCCGGCATGAGTACAGCACTCGCGTTCTGGAACTCAGCCTCTTTACGCTTCAGTTTCTCCACCGGTAAAATGAAGCTAAAAGCAGCTTCCTCAAAAAGGTGCTAGGAGGTGGTGTTCTTTCTCCTTTTTTGTGAATGCTCTGAGATCATCTGAGAGATGGTGCTGAAGTGGCAGGGGCTATTACTGCTCAGAAACTACCCTGCTAACTCTGTCAACGGCCGATTGTCTCAACAGCAGATCCATTTCTCGCTGTCTGGAAGGCAAGTTCAACTTGCCACCACCTCCCCTTGTAAGAAAGCAAGTTATTAGAGGCACACCTTGGGACAAAGCTAAGAACTTTTTGTTGTTGTTCTGGGAACTCTCAGGCAGAACTCATACAGAACTCTCTCTGTTCTGCCCCACTTGTGGGGCATATTTCTGGTACGGTGTTTAAGGGGATGATTTATTTTTATTTCCCTTCTAGGTAGGATTCTTCCTGCACAGGCAATCCTACTTAGCGTCCAAAGGTAGGGAACTCCATCTTGTTGATGTGACAAATCTCTGTAACAACCACGCAACTTAATGTTGGGCCGTGTTGTCCTCTCGGGGCAGTTCCACATGGACCTCGTGCCATGTCTGCCACAGCTCGTAATGGAAAACGAATTTATACCGTGTCTCCTAAGTCTTGCTACAGCACTACATGGGAAAAGAGAAGGCTCCAGCCTGCCTTCTCAAGGTATAGCTGGTCGCAACGGGAGCCTGCCAAGGAGAGCAAGCGGCGGGTATTCCTGCATGGGAGCGCACCCAGGAATCCAGAGGGCCGTGCACCCACCCGGCAGGGTGCCCGCGTCCCCCCGCTGCAGCCCGCCGGAGCCGGGGGGAGCCCCCGGGCCGCCC